TACTTCAATCTTCCCGCGCAATCCCCACACCGTTCGTCACCGAACATGTCGTCCCGATTCAAATTTTATCCCGGTCAACCACCTCGTAAGGCCCCGAAACCCACATTCAGCCCCCACCCTACCTGGCTCGAGTCCGTGTAGGAACGAGCGAGATAGACGTTTTCACTCTCGCTCCTCCTCCCCCGTCGATGCCCGCGCGCACCTTCTTTTTCACAAACCTTCTTTTTCACTACTCCATTGCTCAATCCGATGTTATAGCTGCGCTTGCGGGAGGTTTTTGACCTCGAATCACCTCTCCTCCTACTCAAAACCAACCCCGATCGAACGCGCTTCGTTCTCCTGCTCCCTACTCTCCACTCGTTTTCTTCCACCACCCATGCACATGCATCCTGCTCACTTCCCTATCTAGGCTCACTCTCCCTACCTCGCAGTTCCTTATTCTTCACGCAGCTCCTACGCCCCACAACAGTTACCACTTCATGATTCGAGAATCAGAGTTTTCTATTCGCCTCGCCTCATGTAAGAACCTCCAACATGCTACTTTCCTAGGCCGACCTCGCCGAGAGAGCGGCTAAGCTTCCGCGATAACCAGTCTCTCCCATTTCTACCATCGCCCCTGCTTTGCGCACGCTGCTCTTCTTTTACCTCGCTTTTTACTCACTCTCCCTCCAAACCAGCCGTAGAGTCGTATTCGCTATCCCCCGAAACTCCTATGCCCTTTCCCTCCTCGCCTATATCCGCGAAGGACTGAGCAAACAACTCATCTGTACTTGTGCTTGACTAGCCTCCCATTACCTCTACTTCGGCCGTATCTGGCGCAAACCCCAGCCAGGTTCATTCATCTCCTGTTGTGCTCGTGCTCCGCTTCATTCTCCCTTCACTACCTTACTCCCCGCTGTTTGTCGCTCTCTGCTTTAGCGTCTGCCTTACTCGCTTGGTATAAGCGCAGATGGCCTGGCATCGGTCAGCTCACACGACTGCCTCTCTGCGCTGCTCAGCCGCCTCGACCACCTGAAGAAGACTTCGGAGCGACCCGACTACTGGTCGGCAAGACTAGCTCTCGGTCCTCACGCCTCAAGCCTGATGATCGAGTCGCACGACCAGTAATACGTGCCTCCTCCTTGCGCCCGATCCCCCTTTCATCACGCACGTACCTTGCTCAACTCTCCGTCCGAGTCCAGCCATGCGAGTGTTGTCTCCGCGCTCCTCCCCTTCGATCCATTTGCGCCTCAACGCAGCGGTCTCCGCACCCCGTGGCCGGAATAGCCCAACAATCGGTTCGGGCGGAGGCAGAGGCAATCAACCGAAAGACACGCCTCACCATCGGCTTTATACGTGCGCTCCCCACGCCGGGTCATGTCGGTCTTCTCGGTACCACTCCTATCTCAAGCGGAGCCAAAAATTCACGAACTAGTAGGAAAAAAAAGGAAAAAGAAAAAAAGTAAAAGTAAAATTTATATCATAAACAGAGGGGGATTTTTAAAACTATTATAAATAGGTAGCGGGCGAAACAAAGAGGACTGCTGGCCCTTGCTAGCCCCGTGGACCGGACCCGTCGTCTTGCCTGTCAGCAAAACTGAGGGGGATAGCCCCATCGGGCCCTCAACCCCTTGGTTTCCTCCACGCTGCTCCTGCCCCGTCGCCCGCCAACTTCGATCCCTATACCTCCGTCGTGTGAGTCCAACACCGTAACCTATAGGGCTAAGCCCAAGCCTGGTACCAACACCCGTGAGGTCCTGTATAAAGTAGAGTTGCACAACCCTCAGCCCATGGAAGCGGCCTTGCCCTCGGTCCTTCTACTAGCTAAGCATGCTGCTATTAGACTCCCGTGTCGGCCCGCCTTCCTTGTGCCGTGGCTGCCTCACACCCCTCTCCGTACGTTGGACCACCAACGGTTACCCGCCCCTAAACGAGAGCACTTTATACTCCTCGTAACAAAAGTCATGCCGACCAACTACGCCGGTTGCATAACCAAAAATAGAGAAATCACACGCGCGCCTTAATCTGCGTGCCCACACCCGCTCTACTCTAGTCAAGCATCCTATCAGTGCAACCCAACAGCCTTAGCCGCGACTCGCGCGGTATATATTTTAGGACTTTAGACTTTACCTCATGTCACTTGCAAAAACTAGGGCGGATACCCTTGTCAGGGTATTCGCACCGACAGCGCAGTAACAAAATTAAAAATAGAAAACCGTAAACAAAAATTGAACCATACGCTTTTGTACCTACAATCCTGGCTATGCATAATAATTATTAATTATATATTGGAGGCATCAATAAATATTCCTTCGTTACGGAATTCCCACAGAAGGGATCAGAAATAGCCCTGGTCTTTGAGCATCTTGGAAGAAGTTATGCTTACCAACAAAGACCGCGCAAACCTTCCTTCTCAATCTATTTCGCACATTTCGAGAGTGGTGTGGCGATGCCCTTACATGCGGGTGGACCAATCGCCGTAGTCAATAGATTCATGCCGGCATTTTCCTGCCAAATCGGAGCGCTGCTTGGCTGTTCCGTACGACAGCGGTAGGCGGCTGCCAAGTGGAAGACATCGGACCGTATGATCGTGCCAGCGTGGACATGCGCTGACGTGTCAGCTGGAGCTCTTGTCGTTTTTTTCCACTCCGGTAACCCTAATCTCGACTAGCGCTAGTGCCGCGTCATAGCGCAGCACCATAGCGCAGCATTAGCGCCGACTTTACACCGCAGCTCCATCACTTGATATTGGACATGAAGGACTACCAAAATTGCGGATTTGGGGTCGCCGTGTGAGGGCCTCGCCACACCACTCTTAAAAACTCTTTTTCAAGAGTTGCTGCATCGCCACACAGCCTCTTGACACTTGGGCCAGTCAAGAGCTGTCAGAGTGGCTCTTGAAACCTTTTCAAGAGTAGCTCTTGAAAGATCGGAAACCCCAGCCTGCAACTCGTGCGTTTCCAAGCGTCCTTGCCCTAACCCTCGAGGGACTTTCGGTTTTCGAGAGTTGTCAGACCGTTATCCTGACGCCTTTCGTCATTTTCCATCCTCTGTCCAACACCATTGCCCTTTCGAGAGTGCTGTGTGGCGAGGGGCCGAAAACTCTTGAAGACCCAACTCTTGAGACCGTCTGACAGCTCTTGACAAATTTCCCCATTTCAAGAGTGGTGTGGCTATGGGCCTC